AGCCCAACACAGGATGAAATATTATGCGGATCAACACAGAAAAGAAAGAACCCTAGCTGTGGGTGATGAAGTGTTCCTCAAACTACAGCCTTTCAGACAGAACTCCATTTCACTCAGAAAAAATCTCAAGTTATCAGCACGATATTATGGTCCTTTTAAAGTTTTGGAAAAAATAGGATCGGTGGCATACAAGTTGGAATTACCGGCGGATTCTAAGATCCACCCAGTTTTCCATGTCTCACTTCTAAAGAAAAGGGTTGAGCTCGGGCACTTACCTTCTGCAGAGCTGCCGCAAATTGATGTTGATGGGCACTTCAAGATCCAACCTTTGCATATCATGGACCACCGCATTGTTCGTCGGGCAGGCCGGGACACTCCTCAGATCCTTGTGCAGTGGACCAACGCAGATCTATCCAAGCCAAATTGGGAAGATGAAAGCTTTATACGCCAAAAGTTCCCTCTTTTCGGCCCTTGGGGACAAGTGCCGAGCTCGCCGGGGGGTATTGTCATGGCGGCGATGGCCGGAGAAGAGGCCGTGGAAACGGAAAAAGCGCAGACCGTCGAGGGAGAAGAAAGGACGGGTTTTGAGAATGAAATTACAAAGGGAAATTAAATTAAGGATTGTTGATTTTCCTATTTTTAAGTAGCAGCATTTTATTATTAGTGGGCCAAGTGTTTTGGGTTTATTTTATTATTAGAGGATGAAATTAGCTGGAAGTTGGGTTTATGTTGTTAGCAATGCCCAAATGAATGATGTATTTAAGCAACACGTGATGAGGAAAATGGGTATCAATCAGTTATCAAAATATTCTTTATCTCTCCTCATGTCACTTTCTCTCTTTTTCTCTCTCTACCTGTCTCTTCTTCCCCAAGTTCCCTTTACAGTAAATCTCCATTAATTCCATACAATTACAGTAAGTTAAACATACACGAATTACACGAATTACAACAATTACGCTAACACTTGTAAAAAATGAAGTGCAGTATGAAAATGTAAATAGAGAGTGTAATGTGATAATAGGCATACATCACTCCCTTATATAGGGAGATGGTACCTTGTTGCCCAAGACTGCCCGAATGGGCTGCCCAAACTGCTCGGGCTGCCCAAGCTGCCCGCTAGTACAGCCCGATCTGCCTAAACTGCCCAATTCTATTAGGCTACATGGCCCTATTTACGTGAAGCTCTTAACCCCTTAATTTTCCACCTTATCCCCTAGTCTTTTCTATTAAACTGTCTAATGATGCGACTAGCTCGAGGTTGTCTGAGGTAGAACACTGCCTGTTTTGGGCTAAGTGTTGTCCTTCCTGGTCGATCGCACGACCATCGATGCCTACGGGTTGAGTTTCCAATAGGCCATCCGAGGGCCCTAGCTCGACCTATCGTTGTCTTTATAAAATCATCACTCTTTTCGACCTAAAGCTTCCTTATTTATTTTCGACCTCCAGGCTGCTTTGCTTCGACCACCCGGTTCATTCAACCTAATTGACTGGTTCATTACATTTGCTTTTCTGGGAATGGTATCCCATATCAGTACCCATATAGTTCAACATGGTGGTTGCGAGGGTGGTAATAAAAAATTTGGTTAAATCATCGAAATTAGGGAGGCTTCAAAATGCAGAGACGGTAAAAAACTGGAATTGATGAATTTGTAGGGCAAGAAAAATTGTTGTGACCATTTTTGTTACGTTTTTCTGTACTATTTTGTCGTTCATTTTCCCCCGTTTTAGGTCTATTTGTTAGTTCGTTTTATAGTTTATTGTGTGTTTTGTTCTATTTTAGCTTTTTATATATTTTTCGTGTATTTTGTCGTTTTTCTACGTTTTTCTTCTTGTTTTCAGTGTGCAGGTCGGAAGCCCCGTAAAGAATCATTTTAGCTCAAAAACGGGTTGGGAAATCATAGTTGGATAGATGGGTTCCTTAGCTACACATAGGAAAAAGCGGAATCCAATTTCGAGTTCGGACGAGTCCGGACGAGCCCAATATGCGAAGTCGCACGAAGCACGTCTTTGGTGTGCTGGTCATAAGCTTTGAGAGAATTGTATTTCAAGAATAATTTGGCCATTCAAGCATTATTGAATAGAGGGGTTCGTTAACGACGCGTAGGAAAAAACAGAACTCAATTCCGAGTTCGGACGAGCCCAAACGAGCCAGAAACGTAAAGTCGCGCAGTCCAGTCCAACTAGCGGCGCTAGGGTGTGCTAGCGGGCTTCAGAAGCTCATTTCTTACCCTAGCGGCGCTAGCACCCCATAGCGCGCTAGCAGCTGCTGGCAGACAAGAATTTCTTCTTTTTCCCACAAAACATGGCTTGTTTTGCTCATGCTTTCATGCTCGGTAGTGGAAGCCTAAAACCAGGATTTTTACCTTGAAATGAGCTATGGTGTTGGGAGAAGACACTACTATTTCTTCCCTTCCATTCCACTACATTAGGAACCATTCATCATCCTTGAACCAAGGGGGGTTCTCCCCCCTCTACACCATTCTTCACCTTCCTTCCATTTTTCTTTCTTAAGTGTTGTATTTGTTGTATTTGTTTTGTTGGATTGTTGATGACATTGGAGTGTACTTTGGACTAAGTTGCATTTGCTCTTGGACTTCTCATTAATAGTAAGTTATCTTTTCATCTTGTTTATGTTAAGAATGACTTACTTAAATGTGGATATGCATGATAATATTATGAGCAACTAATCCTCTAGCTAGGGTTAAGGGATAATCATTCCGATTTGTTCTCGTTTACGTGCATGACGATAGCTCAATCTTGACGAGTTGTTTTAATTATGAATTGATAAAATCATACTTGCTAAATGGTTATAACCTAAGAATGACACTTAAGTTAACTTATTGTATAATCAAAGAGTGACACTTTGATTTGTGAGTGAATATTGATTTGTTGAGTTAGAGTTTGTTAATTATACGAATTGCGACTTTTAGAACCGAAAGGGGAGGAGTCGTAGAGATAATCGATTTCAAAACCGAGAGGGGAGAAATTGGTGGAATTTGGCTCGTTTAGAGTAGACATGTTCGGAGACGTATTGTCTATGTGTTAATTGTTTCGTTAATTTGCTCTTTTATGTTTAACCTCATATTACGAGAGTTAGTGAGGTTAAACCGCTATATGAGTTAGTTAGTCGAACCACTTAACCGAGTTATTAATTGTCGTTAAATATGTGTAGAATTGGAAGCGATTATTCCCGATACCCTAGCTCGTTTATCTTTTTATCGTTTATATTTTTAGATAGATTTATATTTCTTGTTATTTCTTAGTTGATAATAAAAAAAACCAATCCTATATTGATTAGAGTGTTTAGGATTTTATTTTCCTTTTATGTGTTATCAATACCATTTCTAAATTCCGAACCGTCTTCCTCGAGAGATCGACCCGGGAAACGAATCATTCGATTCAGCGCTCGATAAAAAAAAATAATTTGCTACAACAAAAATAAAGGCAAAGGTCGAGGTTGTAGGTGGGCCGTCCGACCAGAGATGGTTAGAGTGGTCTGGATCACACAAGTGAGATAGATCTGATATATATCAAAGGTCAGATGATCAGAGGCGTTGATTTCGAAAGGGCATCTACAGTGCAAAATGTGGGAGCGTGTAACAAGTATTCAAAAAGACGTTTCTGACGGGCACGAGTACCTAGGATACGCACCTCAAGGCATTTAAGGCTACCCCGTCAGCCGGACGCATAGAGAACATTCTTGAACAAGTCTGGTTAGCTCGTTCAAGAACGGGGAGGATAAATGATATAGCATCTAGAATAGCTCGGTCGTAGACGGTTCAGGAGAGCTCCATCTGATTCAGTACCTACATCTTACGAAAAGCCTCACGTAGCTCGGAGGCCGGTAGACCAAGAATGCTCGGACACCGGAGAGATCCAAGTAGCTCGGAGGTCGGGAGACCTAAGGAGTTGGGCTACATGAGAGATCTAGGTAGCTCGGAGGTCGGGAGACCTAAAGAGCTAGGCTACAAGAGAGACCTCATGACATGTAGGTCGGTTGGGGTTGGGTCATAGTTACGAACTGGATAAGAATAGTGGCAGGTAGGTGCGGAGTGCTGGTTGGTGATCTTGAAACCTAGAGTCGTGCGACGGGAGGGGAAAGAATCATTTATGGATGGGAAGTACATATTAGCAAGGATTCTCATATTTAGGAGATCTCGCTAGTTAGGAAAGTGGATACGAGAAGATCTTTTTCCTAATTATGACTCTTCTACCCACCAAGTTACGCTAGGTAAGGGTATCCAAGTTCTTTACTTTACACAACACACATACACGCACAAGAACTTACATACATACACTCAATTTTATCACGGACATACACTGACTTCTGAAACTTTTCCGTCGGGATCACTCTCGACGTATTGCAGGTCGTCGGAGCTCCGGAACCGGTTCAAAGCAATTTGCGTATCACGTTGGATCAACTGACATATGTCCATTGCAAATGGAGCTGGAAGAGTCATTGTTGACAATTCTTCTGGCATAGTGCTAATAATGGACTATATCAAAATGGCTCAATTAAATTCTAGTGCTTCACTTACTAGTGAAGTTTCTAGAAAAAAAAACATATCAAACGACGCAATGCACCTTGGGTCGTTACGGAAACAGTCTCCTTGTATAATTACAAGGGTAAGGTCTGCGTACAACTGAGCCCCCAGACCCCAACCTGTTGGGAATATACTGGGTATGTTGTTGTTGTTGTTGTTGTTGGATCAACTGACACCAACACGTGTATTCCGACGGCTCGAACTGTCCACACCGGTAGAGTCCAATTAGCCTAACTCATCACTAATAATTAGTACCTTATGCGGTTGGCAACCGCTGGACAAAGGACAAGGTGCCCTCAAATTGGAAAATTTGGCAAGTTGTATACTTGCTATAGTAACTTAAAATTACTTGCTTTGAGTTGTAACTTTCAAATTAAAAAAAATATAATGATGAACTTATACAAATAATGAACATTGGAGTAAAAGAAAAATCAATGAACAGTACATATATAGAATGGAGACCTTAACAAAGTAGATCTTATGTAATAAATGACCATGTTGTATGCAGTAAGTTTGCATGACAAAGCAGCCTTTGTTCACTGATCTAACTTTTGAGAACACGGAAAATACAAGTTTCTACATATTTTGTACATGGTGTCGATACACTCGGATATTTAAATAAACGAGCATCACTTGGGTGTCAGGGAGTAAAACGGATAGCTCAGTTCAAGAAACAATGTCTTCAAAAGCTATGGAATTATGAAACTGTGGAAACAAAGATAAAAGTTCTTCAATAGCTTTTTTGTGATCACAACACTAATGATAGCCACCATCTCTTTCAACCCCATCAATATTACACTCAAACTTTCCCCACAATCTCTTATCAAATATAATTCTTTACAGCAAGAGTACATAATCCTGTCCATATAATCTGAATAAAGATATTACAAAGATTCTCATATCTACAGAAAAACGAGCACAATAGCAAGTTGCAAAACTTCATCAGTTCATTGTCTTTCACGTATTCAATGAGCCTGTCATAATATATAATTTCAAAAGAAAAGTTAGCAGTCCAGAAAAAAAAAAATCCTTTAATAATCCAAAAATTGAACAAAATCTTCGAGAAACTTGCCTGAGCCATCTGTGTTGTCCGTGAGGAAGCTGCTAGTCTCTCATTTGAGTCGTTTGTTGTCAATGACGAAGAACGAGAACATCCTTGCGCGTCTTCCATAGCTTCTCTCAAGATCTCCACCACTTGAGTCATTGTGGGCCGATCTTTCGGGTTTTTGTTCAGGCACATGTCAGCCAATTTCGCAATCCTCCGAGCAGCACTCAGTGAATATTGATTTTGGAGGCGTGGATCAATGATCATGCTAAACCTCTTGCTATCGGCTGGGAACTGCTTCACCCATTCCAGTAGCTTCACCTCAGACGAGGGGAGGTGCCTTTCTAATGTCCGCCTTCCTGTCAGTATTTCGTATAGGACAACACCAAAGCTATATATGTCACTCTTCACTGTCAATCGGCCGGTTTCAACGTATTCTGGGGCTGCATATCCACGTGTCCCGACAGGCTAACATCTCAAAAAATTTTGAGAAATCAGAAACAAATCGACGCCAGACAAGAGCCAAATTGCACTCTAACTAAAAAAGTTGTGGTATACACTGGAGCTTCAAGGATATTAAGATCATGACATAATATATATTGTTACGCATGTCCATCTTAAAAATGAACAGTTAGTTGCATATTGAAATTGCACCAAAACAAAACAGGCAAGAGTTTGTTAATGGTTAATGGAGATATTTACTAAACCAGAGCCATAATCGAATATCATGAAGAATATTATCTACTTACGGCAGTAGACACGTGAGTGCGGTCCCCTGTTGGACCTTCCCTTGCCAGCCCAAAGTCGGAAAGTTTGGGATTGAAATCCGTGTCAAGTAGCACGTTGGAGGATTTGAAATCTCGATATATCACCTTTGGATTCAAGGATAAAAGAGTTGGTGAGATGAAACAAACTCATTAAAAGTAGTAAGTATGCATCATAATTAAGCTTGGATAGGGAAGTTAGCTAATTTCTTGGCACCTAAAAATGAGGATTGATATAAGACTTTCTTCCAGTCCCTAGCTGCCTCACTAAATTCTTGTTGAATTACAGAATCCCACAGGAGGAATACGAATATCAGGTTAAATATATGCAGCTCATGATTCATCTACTTCAGTCACATCTTCTAGAAAACTTCATTGAAATAATTGAATGTTGTAGAAAACATCAATGTCCGGTATATCATTGTTGAAGTTACAAATTTTCGGTATGATTTTAAGGAAAAAACAAACTTTATAGGACTAGTTCATTATAAGTGTGCCCCAAAATCGTATTCGTATCTTATCTAACCTATGAAAATACTCTGTTCGACAAACACAAAACTCGGCCATTCTAGTAAGCAATGTTTAGGGATTGCAAGAACAAGAAAATAGAGTACCTGGACTTCCGATCCCTCGTGCAAATACGCCATTCCTTGAGCTGCCCCAAGAATAATGTTTATTCTAGTGACCCAAGGAATTGTTGGCGTGGCCCTGTTAAAAAGATGGTCCTCCAGGCTTTTATTAGGCATGTATTCATAAACCAAGAGCAGTTGTATTCCCCTTTCTCCATCCAAGGAACAGTATCCTAAAAGCTTCACAAGATTGGGGTGATCCAGCACTCCAAGGAATTGGACTTCTGCAATCCATTGCTTGTGACCCTACATAATCGCCGGAAATTTTAATGTCAACTCTAAATAAACTACGAAGGGAACTCCAATATATTACAAACTTAATTCGGAGTGTGATTGATATTGGAATACTAAGTGTGACTGCAGATCAGGGTCATGACTTCATTGTTCCCATCATCTTAGACTCATCCAATCAAAGCCGGGCACCACAAATTGGTGCTACTGAATGATCTAAGAAGAGTCGATCAAGTGCTTCTGGTTTTACTTTTAGTTGGTTCGTTCTAGCGTACCCACCTAAAAATCTGTTTAACTAGGAAATGGTGGCAAATCACAGTGTTGCCGCATTAGTGGCTGGAGTATTCAAGACAGACGAATCAGACAAATGTATACAGTTGAAGAATAAACTGAACATATTTGAATTTCTGCCTTCTGTAACACCTTAGTTTATGAATTAAAGAGGACAAAAGTTCAGCTATTATTAGAAGGTCAATTTGTTGTGGAATAAAAAATTAGTGTATCTAAGATATGATAAAAAATTTCCTTTTGTCAGACTTGAAAGTAGAAAACCAAACCTACATACATTATCCGGAAATAGTCAAAATCGACCCAGATAACGTGAAGTTCTAAAGTTTATGCTCCGAACTAACTTATGATGTGCCCTCACGTGTTTTTTCACGATCTAAATACACACTAGTGGCTATGTGTATGAATGTGCGTGATTTAATGGTAAAAATCCCAATAAGGACACAATTTGCCGATTCACAGACTTCCTCCCCAACTACATAGCAATAAATGCACATGATGAACCTTTCGAGCGTGCAATTAACCGATCACCCATTTTTTTCACCAGTAACGAGATGATCGTCCAACACTTTGAGCAAACGCCAGAAAATTCAATCAAATAAAGTATTAGAGATTGGATTTTGTTCATTTCACCTGCAAGCCATGGGCATTCAGCTTCTTAATGGCGACAATGTTGGGCCGATCTGGCGGGGCGGGTTTGATGGATCCCTTGTAAACCGACCCGAACCCACCCTCGCCGATCTTGAGCAGCCTGTTGAAATTGTTGGTCGCCTCACGGAGCTCCGACAGAGAGAAGACCCGCAGGCTGTGCTGCCTCTCTCTGTATATCTCGGGTATCGTCCGGCGACGGGAAGACAAACTGCTTCCGGCGGACTTCGCCGCGCGATTCCCGCCGCCGTCTTCGCTCCCCATTCTTTCGCCTCCGCCGCCGCCCAATTCCGGAGCTGAGTTGGCACCTCTGCGCTTCTCTCTGCTGAATATCTGGAAACAGTTCATCATTTGCCCGACCGCCCCCAAATTTGTTCTGTAAGTCGAATTGCAAGGTTTTGAAGAGATGAACGCGTGAGAATGCTCGTCTGGTTCGTTGTTTATTTTCTGAAAGGGAGATTTTTCAATGGAGACGACGAGGAGATACATAACTACATACATCTGTATGTATATATAGTTATATACATATGATCGAGACGTAATCGACGAAAAGAGGACCACGACTCTACAGTTTGCGCCATTCTCATTTCCCACCAAGGAATTCATATAAAATAGGTATCGAGTATATAATATTAAATAATAATTATAAATAGGTATCAAGTTCGAGTCATCCAATGAAAGGAGTGGGGAACCATTATTATCCTCTTTTAAAAGAGTAAGAAAAAAAATATATTATAAATTAAAAATGAGAGTAAATAATATTAAATAATATTTAGTTATTATTAAGTCTCGATTTCGAGTCACCCAATGAAAGAAGTGGGGAACCACTATTATCCTCTTTTAAAAGAGCCAAAAAATATTACAAATTAAAGATGAAAATAAATAATATTAAATAATAATTATAAATTAAAGATGTAGGGTTAACATGTGATATAATTTACTGTATATCAGTTTATTATCAACACTATAAAATTAACTTGTATAAGAGAACATAAAGTTTGTATATTAAAATATAAAAAAATATGTGAAAGTATGTAAAAAGTTTCTGTATTATTATTAAACACATTTAAATTTCACATTTGTATGAAAAATATTTTCTAAACTCTTATGTAAAGAAAACATGTCTAAAAATATTTAAATTTAATATATATATGTGTGTGTGTGTGTGTGTGTGTGTGCATGTATATATAGATATAATATGACATGATAAAATATTATATAAAAGTATCTAAATATTATAAGCCTAAATAAAGACATTATAAATTTTTTGAGAGAAAAATACCTAGTATATATAACATAAACACTGACATCCAAATTATGACGGTACTTCCAAAAATTTGAGTACATAATATTTCAAAATTATTATTTGTTTTTTGTAAGTTTGTGACCTTTAAAAAGAAATTTTGTATATGACAATTCCATGTTTTATGCAGATTTATTAGTTTTATAAATACAGCTCAGATAATAATGTAAACTGTAACAAATAAAATGAAATTTTATATATAACTGATAATTAAACAAAAATTGAAAACAAACATGATCCCAAATTATGACGGTTCTTCCGAAATTTTGAGTACATAATATTTCAAAATTATTATTTTTTTTTGCAAGTTTGTTACTGTTAAAAAGAAATTTTGTACACCTAACAATTCCACGTTTTCTGCAGATTTATTAATTTTACAAAAACAGCTCAGAGATTAATGTAAACTGTAACAAATAAAATGAGATTTTATATATGACTGATAATCAGACATAAGTTGAAAACAACATTTAATTCTGCATTTCTTCTATTAACTTTTTATTGTATGTATTTAATATTTTTGGGGGAGAAATATGCGATAAATACATTAAAGACATCTAAAATATTATTTCATATATATAAAAAGTATATAAAATATTCTATATTACTTTTGAAAATGTTTGAAGCCACTTTTTAAATCCTTTTTTAAGGAAAACATGTAAAAATATATTTAAGTTTAACCTCTCTCTCTCTCTATATATATAATATATATATGTGTGTGTGTGTGTGTGTGTATANAAAAGTGCCAAAAAATATATTATAAATTAAAAATGAGAGTAAACAATATTAAGTAATAATTATAAATTAAAGATGTTGGGTTAACATGTGATATAGTTTACTGTCTATCAGTTTATTATCAACACTATAAACTTAACTTGTACAAGAGAATATAAAGTTTGTTTATTTAAAATATAAAAAACATGGGAAAGTATGTAAAAGGTTTCTGTATTATTATTAAAAACATTTAAATTTCACATTTGTATGAAAGATGATTTCTAAACTCTTTTGTAAAGAAAACATGTCAAAAAATATTTAAATTTAATATATATATATGTGTGTGTGTGTGTGTGTGTGTGTGTGGGCATGTATATATAGATATAATATGACATGATAAAATATTATATGAAAGTATCTAATATTATAAGCCTAAATAAAGTCATTATAATTTTTTTGAGAGAAAAATTACCTAGTATATATAACATAAATATTGACATGATCCCAAATTATGACGGTACATCCGAAAATTTGAGTACATAATATTTCAAAAATTATTATTTTTTTTTGTAAGTTTGTTACCGTTAAAAAGAAATTTTATATATGACAATTCCATGTTTTATGCAGATTTATTAGTTTTAAAAATACATCTCAGATATTAATGTAAACTGTAACAAATAAAATGAAATTTTATATAAAACTGATAATTAGACAAAAATTGAAAAAACACATGATCCCAAATTATGATGGTACTTTCGAAAATTTGAGTACATAAAATTTCAAAAAATAAAAAAAATAAAAAAAAAATTGTGAGTTTGTTACTGTTAAAAAGAAATTTTGTACACCTAACAATTCCACGCTTTATGCAGATTTCTTAATTATACAAATATAACTCAGAGATTAATGTAAACTATAACAAATAAAATGAGATTTTACATACAACTGATAATCAGACAAAAATTGAAAAACAACATTTAATTCTGCATTTCTTCTATTAACTTTTTATTGTATGTATTTAATATTTTTGGGGGAGAAATATGTGATAAATATATTAAAGACATCTAAAATATTATTTCATATATATAAAAAGTATATAAAATAATCTATATTATTTTTTAAAACTGTTTGAAGCCACTTTTTAAACTACTTTTTAAGGAAAACATGTAAAAAATACTTAAGTTTAAAATAATGTTTAAAATGTCTAAAATATTATAAGTGTTAATAATATTTGAAAAAATATTAGTATTTAGATGGGTGAAAATTATCTTTACAAAGAAATTACATCAAGGATTTATATTAGCAATTAAACATAGTGAATTAAAAAAAAAATCTGTTACGATAGTTTTTTTAAAAAAATCGTTAGAATATATAGATAAGGGATGAGATTTTTTAAATTTAAATGGATTCTGTAGAATATATAGATTTTTAAGTATAATAGGATTTTTTTAAAAAAAAAAAATAAAAATTGTTAGGATATATAGATAAGGGATGAGATTTTTTAAATTTAAATGGATTATATAGAATATATAGATTTTTAAGTATAATAGAATTCTTCGTATCGGCCCGATCTTTAAAGGCAACAGACGTGTGTGTGGAACTAAAACCCAATATGGGATTTTTTTTTACGTGGAGATAGGATATTCCTTATATTTTATCTTTTTTACATGTATAGATTAAGTTTAAATGTAACAACATGTAAAGATTAAGTTTAAATGTAACAACATTTTAAACGTACATATCTTTCATTGATGTTATTCAAATTTTGAATTTGATTACACGGATTTTTTGCAACCGATTTAAAAAATTTACACGGACATATATAAAGCATTTAATGCATGCATGTTTTGAGGGGAGATAAGATTTGCTATTAATAGAAAGAATTTAATGCTAATCCACTTTGACTATTAAATTGACTTGCCATTTTTAAAAAAAGGTTATTCTTTTTATATAAGTATAGATGTAATATATACTATTACAACACCCGTAAATTACACGGGTGATTATTAAAAAATTATTTTTAAATTTTAAAATTAATGAGAAAAATTATTTTAAATATTTACTATTTTACAAAAAATATATATTATTATATACTTTAAAATGACATTTGTTACTTGTGCGACTTACATGTGTTATTATAATAATTTTTATACTTATATCATATAACTACTTGAAATATAAATATATTAAATTGATAAATAATTGTATTCTAATTAATATTATAAAAACAAATTTATTATTTTTATAAAGATAAATATAATTTATTTTTTTATACATACAATATGGATGTTAAATCGAAGTTCATCAGAGATGATTAATTTAATATATTATATATGTAAAACAGATTAATAATACAAAAGATATTAGCTTTTAAAATACATTTATAATTCAATAAAAAGAAATGATATTAAAATGCATGACTATAAATAATCAATATATTTATGATATTCCAGACCTAATTATTTTTTGATTGAAAGGAAATTAAAATTTACCCAAATCTAATAACGAAAAATGTAATTTGTCACATAAGATCCTGAAGCATGCACGTCTGTCATTTAGGCTCAACACGTTTTGAATTAATAGATAGGTTAGGGGCCTGAGGGCCATTTTTTATTATTATTTTATGTTAACGAGTGAGGGGCCTGAGGGCCGTCTTTTACATTTTTATTCACAAAGTTTTTTTTTTTTATAAAGAAAAATTGAGCCTAATGTAAATTATGTAATAAGCAATGACTATTAAGTATTAACTAATAGTCTAATAAAATATTAAATGCTAAACTAAAGTACTAAACAAGTAATTACTATTACTAATTAGGTAAGGCTACTATTTTTTTTTATTCCTAATTGGGTCGGTTCGGTACATCCGAACCCTTATGGCATGACTCGTATAATAGAATGGAATTTCGTAGAAATCGAATGAATTGAAGAATGCAATGATTATGGGAATAGAATGAAACAAGTTTTGTCATTGATGCGTTTGGTAGGCAGAAGGAATAGGACTTGAATGAAATGACATTATCATTTTTTATTATAAAATAAATAAAAAAAATAAAAAATAATATAATTTTAATAAATTATATATAAATGCTTTTTTAATAATATATAAAAATAAAATAATTATATTTTTAATAATATATAAAAATAAAAATCAAATAATATATTTTTAATAATATATAAAAATAAAATAATATATTTTTTAATAATATAAATAATAATATATTCTTAAAAGTACTATATTTTTAATATATAAAAATAAAAAGTAATATTTTCAATAATTTTTAATTAAACAATAAATAAAAGTAAGTTTTCAATTTTTCATTTGAATTTTATTTTTTAAAATAATATATTATTAATAATATTTAAAAATAAAAAGTAATATATTTTTAATAATATATATTTTTAATATTTTTCAATAATATATTTTTAAAAGTAATATATTTTTAATATATAAAAAATAATATGGTTTTAATAATATATAAAAATAAATTAATATACTTTTAAATTATATATAAATGCTTTTTTTTAGTTTTATTTTTATATAAGTATTTAAAATATCTAATTAAAAATAAATAAAAGTAAGTTTTCAATTTTTTTATTTGAATTTTATTTTAAAATAATTTTATTTAATATATTTTAATCATGATTTATAATATATATTATTTATTTATTTTTTATTATTATTTGTTAATTTTATTTTTTGAAAAATAATTCCTATACACATGTGAATGAGAAAACCTTCCATTTACTATGGAATGGCTAATCCAATGAAGATAGGTTTTGCCATTCCCATTGGAATGGTCATTCCTTTTCAAAAAATATATCAATCGTGAGATAAGGAACGAGTAAGGGAATGATCATTCCATTCTAATGTCATTCATTCCTACCAATCATGCCATTATATATTTGGAACCGATAACAAGTCGGTAACCACTAATTGGTTACCATTATAAATGAGTCGATGTGGTTCAGTTTATTTTCTCATCGGTTCGATTTTCAGTTTTCGATTTAAAAATAATAGTCCTATATTTAATAGTGATAATTATAAAAGAAAGTGTTATGAATAAATGGACTTACCACTGTTCATTTTTATTTTTATTTTTTATAATTTTATTCACCTCTAGAGTTATATTTTTATTTTTTATCAACCACTATAATCATAATAAAATTAAATGATGATTTTTTAAATATATTTATTATTTAATTAAAAATATTTGAAATATAGAAAACATTGTATTGCAATTAAAATTTTTAATATATTAATAATGATATAAATTTAATTTTATTTGAATTTATATATATCAAATATATTTAAATTTATATTTTTTATATTAAAACATATATAAATATTTTTGTAATATATCAAATATGAATTTAAAAAATATGAATTAATAAAAAATATTTTTGTCATATATCAAATATGAATTTAAGTTTATATTTGTGTTATATTAAAAAAATATATAAATTTGAATTTAAAAAGTATATCAAATAATAAAATTGACCAGTCCGATCAACCAATTTAAAATTATATATCAAATATATCAAAAATAAAAATTGACTAATCCGATCAACCAATTCTGATTGGTTCATTGAATACCAGTTCGTTCAAAGGAATCCAACAATTTGACGGATTCCAAAAATTAAAAATAATAGTAGTTGATATTATTTTAAAAATAATAGTAGTTGGTTTTATTTTTATTTTTATTTTACGTTTTAAATTTTTATTAACCTCTAAAAGTATATTTTTATTTTTTATCAACCAATATAATTATTACAATATTAAATAATTATTTTGTAAATATATTTATTATTTAATTAAAAGTATTATAAATACTAAAAATATAATAATATAAATTCAAATATATTTGAATTTATTTATATCAAATATATTTAAACTTATATTTTTGTTATATTAAAAAATATAAATATTTATTAACTTATTTAAAAAATATATATATTATTGACCAGTCCATTCAACTAATTCTAATCAATTCATTGGAAACCAATCCGCTTAAAGGAATCAAACCGTTTAGTTGACCGATTCTCGATTCAACAACAAGTTTGACCGAGCTTTTAAACTAATAGTAGTTGGTATTACTTTTATTTTTATTTTTATTTATAAATTTTATTAACCTCTAGAATTCTATATTCTAATAGAATTAAATAGTTATTATTTTTTAAATATATTTATTATTTAATAAAAATTAGTTTTAAATATAGAAAACATTGTATAATAATTATTATTTTTGTCTCAAAACTAATTTTTTACTATCAAATATTGTTATATACTCACGAAATAAAAATTGCAACAAAAATTAGTAATACAACTGTTTCTTTAATATTTGGGACCAAATTTCCAACAAAATCAATCTTATGAGACTATATTTGCAATTTTTTCAATATTTGGGACTAATGACAAACGGTGACTTAACAGTCAGTTAGATTTGGGACCAATTATGCAACAAATATTAGTTAAAGACTGAAATTGCGCCTCTTGAAACTAAAATTGCTGTCGTCCCAATCTAACGGTACCAAATTTACAATTTTCTCTATAAGAAGTCTCCTCCATATTTAACACAAACTAGACCTTTTTTTTCTTTCTCAAGAGGAAGCTAGCGCCGGAAGGTCCTCGATTGTTCTACAAGATTTTAGTTATGCCCCACTATCATTCTTCAGAAATCACGACCGTTCAATAAAAAATATTATTTTATATAGGAATTGAAATGAAAAATGAAAATACTATGAACAACCCAACTCCACACGGCACCCCTCGCCATTATATATACTCATCCCATACACCACGGTTTTTGACGTCATCTTAAACAAAACCAAACTACGAAGAAAACATGGATTCCTTCACATCCTTCTTCGATTCGCGAGCGAGAACTGGCTGGAATTACGAGTCCCTCAAGAATTTCCGGCAGATCTCCCCCGTTGTCCAGACGCATCTCAAGCAGGTTCCGTTTTCTCTTTTTCGATTTCTTTTTTCTGTTGGAATTTCGTCGATTACTTTTTATGTATGCCGTGTTGAATCGGGGGTTTTGTGATCGGGTTGAATTGTTGTTTCAAGATCTCAACGAATTTGTGTGCAATTTGGTGTTAGTTTCACCTGGTTCTGTGATTTGTGAAAGTATTTGATGGTTTCCCGTTTCCGTGAGTTAGGGTTTAGGTTTAGAACAGATCAGGTGTTGTTCGACAGAATTTTTGTTTTCCATTGTTTGTATACAGTTTTCTTATATTCTTGGTTTGATTCCTCTTGCGGTCGTGCGGGAGGAACTTTGTATCTTGGGGAACTAGGATCTGTTACTGTGTGATTCGTATTTTCTCTTTCAAATTAAAAAAAAAAAAAAACGTGAGGAATAATTTGAGACCCAAATGCTGTGCTGCTCGATTTCAGGTTTATCTCGCTCTATGTTGTGCACTGGTTGCGTCCGCTGTTGGAGCTTATCTCCATATTCTTTGGAACATTGGTGGTCTCCTCACAATTCTCGGATGTCTGGGTTGCATGGTTTGGCTATACTCTGAGCCTGTTTACAAAGAGGTACTTCATTTATGTCGAATTTGTCAGTTCCTTCTGTAGTTCTGTGAATTATCTTTTTTTTCTTCTCCTTGATGCTTACTATTCTTTCTGTGCATAGAAAAAGAGAGTTTCACTTCTTATGGCAGCAGCTGTCTTTGAAGGAGCTACGGTTGGTCCTTTGATTGAATTGGCCATTGATTTTGACTCAAGGTAGATATATTTTAATGATACTTGTGTTATTGAGAATTTGAGATGCATCTTTTAGCCCGTTGCCATTGGATCATGCTTATTTTCTTATGGTTGAACTTTGTCGGATGGAATTTTCGTTTTCAGTTAAGTTGCGAAAAATTTTGTTTCATTGATCTTCTCAAGGGAGTGCCTTCTCTGTCTAGTATTATGCTTCTCTGGACTAGTAAATATTCTGATTGGATTAAGTTCCTGAAGCATGAGATGCCTTGTGCAGCATCTTGTTTTGTCTTCTCTGGAAAGTGTGCATGCATTATTCAGCATTATGTCCTAGAAATCTGGAATATTATTTCATTTAAGGTCATTTGCCTCAAGATTCTATTTGTTTACCGTAATTTGGATATGAGAATGTGAATAGTTCAACTGCTGTCTTCACACTTGTAATGATTTACACCCATAAAATTGAATGGTTATATCATTGATGCAATGTTCATGTATCTCCTGCTTATGAAGGTTGATGAATTGGTTTTAGCTACATCTCATGTGTGTGTTTTGCTCCCTTTTTGTAGCATTCTTGTCGGTGCTTTTGTCGGTTGTGCTTTGGCCTTTGCTTCTTTCTCTGCAGCTGCCATGGTAGCCAGGCGTAGAGAGTTTCTGTATCTCGGGGGTCTGCTTTCTTCTGGTCTCTCCATTCTCCTGTGGTTGCATTTTGCATCCTCTATTTTCGGTGGTTCAATGGGTCTTTTCAAATTCGAGGTATCAAAATCTGTTTTCCAATTCATTCTGCATAATACAATCACATAAGTAAACACAAATATTGATTCACTGCACTCTTACTCTCTTGCAGCTGTACTTTGGGCTCCTGATTTTTGTAGGCTACATAGTAGTCGACACACAGGATATAATCGAGAGAGCACACCTGGGTGATCTGGATTATGTGAACCATGCTCTTACCCTATTCTCGGACTTTGTTGCCGTGTTCGTACGGATTCTGATCATCATGGTGAGTGGCGTTTTGTTTTTTAATACTTAACAGACATTGTTATATTTGTTCTTTATGTGATAATAGTTTTCTAATTGTCGTTTGGTGGGTTTTGAACTTTCACGATGCATTGCAGCTGAAGAATGCGAGTGAGAAGGAAGAGAAGAAGAGGAAGAAGAGGAGAGACTGATGCCTAACTATCCACAACAACTGGTGAAATAAATTGAAATCTGTTTTGGAAAGTGATTTTGTCTATAAACATGCTTCTTTTAGGAATTCTGTCTGGGTTTTGACATTGGTGTGTGGTGTGATTAACACTCCTTTGCTGTTCATGTGGTTTGATGATGCATAACGATGTAATACTTTTGTTGCAGACCTTAGACCTCTAATATTCTGTGGCACTAACATTTCTCTTTCTCTCTCTCTCTCTCTCTCTCTCTCTCTGTGTGTGTGTGTGTCTATCTATAAATCTTATTGTTAGGCTGCCTAATCGATACAAAGTCATTTTAAAGTTATTTTAAGTTTGACATTTAAGAGTAGATGTACATTTAAGAGTAGATGTAATAGATATGTTAAAAGAGCACAACTTTAGGCATCATAATGCACGAATTACCGATTTATTAATAATAGTAGACCGTGTGGAGTTTGGTAATTTTCGCAATTTTTTTTACAGTGGACTATATTTATTGCGGAATATAGTTGTTTTGGCTTTTATAACGTATCTGATTCTAGAGTAATTAGCGCGCAGAGGCCAAATTTGAGCCTCAACTCTGTAGAAAATCTGGTTGTGCGTAGATATGATTTATTGTTTGGAATATAGGCGCATAGGTTAGGATAATTAATCAGATAATTAGAATATATATAAATTTCAAGAGAATGAGAATGGAATAGTATGAAATATCAAGTAACTTATTCTGTTCGGATACCTGGAGTCGATGATCCGTTTGTATTTTATTGAGATAAGTGGTCGATCTTTTTATTCTTTGTCGCTAATTTGCCCATGAGATAATGTATAATCCATAGCAATTTGTTAGGAGTTCACTAATTGGTGTGAAAAACATCGATAATATTCATCAGCAAGTTTTATTATTATTATTATTACTATTATTATTATTATTATTATTATTATTATTCACCGGCAAACCCAAGACGTGTCGTGATTTTTTTGTTAACTAGAGTTAATTTGGAAAAATATGGTATGCAAAATTCTATGTCATGTCGTGATTGGATACAAAAACTTTTACCTAAAGTGGATTTGTTTGTTAACGAGAGTTATTTTAAAAAAATATGAGTAGTTGTTAGTAAGATTTTATGTTTATATTAAAATAATTTTTAAATAAAATAATTAAATTTGATTTGATGTAAAAGTATGGGAGAAATAATGTGAAGTGATGATTAGTTAAAATTATGTTATTGGATGAATAGTTAATTAAAGTTGGTGTGATGTGTAAGAATGATTGATTGTATTATTAATTACTAATACGTACCACGTGCACGGGACATAGATATTAAATGAGTTATTTTCACAGGCTTTGTCCGTTTAAGTCTAAAAAGTAATTTTGGGTTAATCTATTTTCCACATCTTTTAATCAGTGGTAAGTCTAAAAAAAAAATAAGATTATAATTTATTTTTCACCTCTTTAATCAGCGTTGTTTTTTTAGCCATACATTAAATATGAGCATGTTAGAGCTAACTTATAAAATAATTAATATATTATCTCACTAACACATATGTACTAATATAAATTTGATCTTAGTATATATAGTTATTCCTTGATATAAGAGAAATAACAGTTTTACTTATTATTGTTCAACATACAATATTTAATTATTATTTTATTATAAACTTTGTTGTCATATAATGTCATTATTATTTATAAAAGTTATGGAAGGTGTACGTATTTTTTTTATGTAATTAAAAATATCTAACGCACGTTAGTATTATTTATTTATGTAATCAATTTAAATATGTAGATAAATTTAAAATTAAATAGTGTATAAATATTTTACAAAATATACACAAATATTTTTTTAGAATTTAATTTTGTATATTGATTAAACAACTTTGATTACAAATGCAAAAAACTCAATCCCTTCTAAAATCAAGATTTTTCTGATTTGCATTATAATAATTTATAGTTTATTTAGCATACTCTACAATGAAAATATATTTTACAAGAATTTCATTATACAAAGTAATCAAAATCAAAAAATTATAAAAAGAATAATAATGGTTGCCAATAATATAAAAAATTCTAGAACAGTTTAATATATTACAATTTTTTTTTTTACCATTAGTAAAACTATTTAATATATTTGGTCTGATCTATTAAATGGTAAATTATATTAATTTGAAAAATAATTTATTTTTTGTATATAATGAAATAAAGCTTAAGAAAGAATTATATTGGCAAAGATTAATTCATCAACTTGATTTCGCCTGATTAATTGGAAGAAAAAATTTTACCTAACCTGTTACGATTTCCTATAAATATTTTTAGATAAAAAGTGAATATTGTGAAAAAAAAATTAATATTATGGTTAGAACTTAAAATATGTTGTAATATTTATCTTGACAAAAGTAATCAAGCTTGTAATTTATTACAATGGATATTAATGAAATTATTGCAGATATTTATAAAATCATTTAAGAAAACAATATTTTTTATCATATTTGATTTAATCTTATTTGAAAACGTGTCTATGGAAGCTTATCAACATGAATCGGCGAGTCGCCCGTGGATCTAAACAGGGGAATGATATAAGAGGGTGGATATGGGGGGTCGGCTGTGATTCCCTTCCATTTGGGCATAGTAATGAAATAAAAAAAGATGTGTCACGGTTCATCCGAACGACAATGTTAATCATTTTGGGATTCGTATGCACGACAACCCTCCTTCTAGTGCCATTTTGTTTACGTTCGTTTTTGCCAACTAGGCTATCGAAGCTACGGTGTGCTACCTATAGTGTGATATAGTATTTTGAAGCGATTTAATAAAAAATAAGAAGGAAAGTAGAAACAACAGTAGTTGGATTGCGACGAATAATGGTGCATGCACTGAAGATTTTATTTATGATTTTGGGTCGCTTCTAGACCTCTTTTGTACAAGAGGCTGCCGAAGGCTATGAAGATTGAGAAAGCAACAAGAAAGCTACGTATATATGAGGAAATCTTTGAAGAACTGGTGGAGGATTTTTTATTTAATCGAAATAGATTGGCTCTCAACTGGATGTCCCTTGAAGCTCTGAGACCTTGTTATTTATAAAAGATGAGACTTTTAAAATATAATATATTCGAGACACGTGGCGGCCCCTGAGAGGCCAGCTGCATGAACGACGACATGTGCCCTAGCAACTTGCTCAACTTGTGCAAATGACTTATCTTTTTGGGCAGTGGGAACCGGTTTGCTGGGCGACAACCCTTTTCACGTTGACCTTCAGTACATATCAACAAAAGGAGAAAATCTCGCTTTTGGCCGATGTGAGGAGATGACTTTGTTGATCTTATTACCCCTGGGTAAGATCGCCAGGAGGCCAGCACCATTAGTTCGGCCGATATGTTCTTAGTACCTCGATTCCTGGAATATGATCAGTATAAACTTTATTGTCCTTGTTGTAGTTGTTTCCATGGGCTTTAATCCAGGTTGACAAATTTTGGGTATCAACTATGACAATAAAAATATTGCATTTAAACGAAAAAAAAAAATTATTGCATTTAGGTGAAGTGAACCCTTCCATAGTTCACATAATATCTTCATATATTTACATCATAAGTTTGACCATTATATTTTTCGTATTTTGTTTTCATTCCCCTTTTTCTCCCTTCATTGTTTTGAATGGGTTTGGAAAAATGGGGTAGGATAATATGAAAAGTCACTGGTCAAGAGAGAAAGGGCAGTAGTAATAGTTTCTTTGGCATAGGCCAAAAATAAAAAATGGTTACGAAAAATAAATACAAAAAAAAGTGGGTATTATACAAACTTTAACTACTCATACTTTTTCAATACATAAATATTTTTAATTAAATTGTCATATACTAAAAATTAAGGCGAACAAAAATATCAACACATATGCACTTTCAAATTAAATTTTATATACTAAAAAATAACATGAACAAAAGTATTACATGACTACGAGTTAATATGCCGACAGTGTTTATGAATTAATATGTCTACTAAGTACTAACTTGACCAGTTTTGCTATGGAGTTATCGGATGGTTCAGCTTATGGAGCCATCCACACTTATTCACCAATAGTGTATTGACACGTATCCTGCAATAAATACAATTTGGACAGGTGTCAATACATTAAGTGGTGGATGACTCCATAAGAAAACCATCCGATGGCTCCATAGAATTTTTGCTAACTTGAGTGGCATAATATTAGCACACTTGAGTGTGATTGAAAGATCCCGAGATACTAATACATTACTTGTAAACGCATTTTAACGTGCTCATAGAGGTTGGGTGACCATTTGTATAATATTTTATAGCATAAATATATATATTTTGGTTAAAAAAAATATGTCCCGTATCCATTTGACGAGAAATGAATACAAAAATTTTGAAATAACATTAGTTCTTAAAAATTATTTGTTTGAACAACAAATTTATCTAAATACAACAACAACAACAACAACAACAACAACAACAACAACATAGTCTTTTAGTCCCAAGCAAGTTGGGGTAGGCTAGAGATGAAACCCAAGAGAACCAATGGTAAGAAAACACAAAAAGGGCTCAAAAACAAAAGGAAGAGATTGGAGCAAAAGAGAAAGGAACAAAAGCCACGGTTATGGCACGTTGATTGCTAGCCTCCAAGCGCTCATATCTACACCGCTAAATCCTTGGGGATATTCTAACCGGCTGCAATTCTATGCCTAACATCAACATCAATGCCGCCATCCTTTTGTAGCATCGATCCTAAATATCGGAAAGTCTCCTTCTTAGCCACCACTTGCCCGTCAAGGCTAATGTCACCATCATCATGTGTAGCCATGCTGAAAGCGCATGTCATGTACTCAGTCTTCTTCCTACTAAGTCTGAAGCCTTTCGACTCTAACGTGTCCTTATACAGCTCTAACTTCCTATTTACCCCTGCCCTACTCTCGTCAACTAGTACGACATCATCAGCAAAGAGCATACACTAAGGGATATCACCTTGTATGTCTCTTGTGGCCTCATCCATCACCAAGGCAAATAAATAAGGGCTCAATGTTGACCCCTGGTGTAGTCCTATTTTAATTGGGAAGTCGCTGGTATCGTCCCCACATGTTCGGACACACGTCATCGCATCCTTGTACATATCCTTGATGAGGGTAATGTACTTAGATGGGACTTTGTGCTTTTCTAAGACTCACCACATGACATTCCTCGATACTCTGTCATAAGCCTTCTCAAGGACGATAAAGACCATGTGCAGGTCTTTCTTTTGGTCCCATATCTAAATAGC